GGGCTGGTTTCTCACTGATTGTATATGGATGCATGAGTGGTGAATGTATGTCAATAAGTTGTGTTCATTCCATTGCTCAAGCTATTACATGTTAATGTTGAATGGGCTGGTTTTGTATATTGATGTATTTGGATGCATGAATTGTGAATGTGTGGTTGTATGTTTCGCACAAGCTATTACAGGTTATTATTGAATGAGATATTGTTTTGAGGTTGGGATATAGATCCATGAGTGGTGAATGTATGTCATTAAGTTGTGTTCAAGCTATTACAAGATAGTTTTGAATGGGCTGGTTTCGTATACGGTTGTATATGGATGCATGAATTGTGAATGTGTGGTTGCAGGTTTCGCTTGAGCTATTACAGGTTATTGTTGTTTGGTAAGGTGATTTTGTCAAGCATTGCAAGCAACTCAACTATGATCAGGATATATCATAGATGTTTCTTACTCATTGTATATGGCTGTCCTTATTGAGGAGTGCATTGTTCTGTCAATGCACATAGTACTTTTTTATAATTTATAGTTCTAAGGCATGATTGTGGCTTGAGATTTGAAGGGTGTTGTTTGGCTTCCTGCTTTAGTTCAACCAGTGTTGGTTGATATGCATCACCTTAATACCAGTTGACCTACTAAAGAAAGGATCGAGGCTTTATTATAACTGCCAAAGATTACCACCACAATATGAGCCAGTGGAACCCTATAGAGGAGGCCCAATTCATTGATCTCTTGTTGAAAGAGGTCAAGAAAGGGAGGGCCTCAAGAAAGACGCATGGAACCGGATGATACAGTACATGGTAAGCAATTCTGGGAACTTTTATGACTTGGAATGGCTGAAGAGTAAGTTCAAACAGTTTGGTTCAATGTACATGGAAGTAAAACAACTCATGAGACAACCAAGTTTTGGCTGGGATGGGCTAACTCAATAGTTGTAATTGTTGTCTTTTTTCTTTTTAAAATTGGGAACAATATGGGACAAGCACCAATGCTGGTTTCTTCAAGGTTGTATATGGATGCATGTCACTAAGTTGTGTTCAAGCTATTACAGGTTATTGTTGAATAGCTGGTTTCTTACTAGCTGTATATGGATGCATGAATTGTGAATGTGTGTTTGTATGTTTTGCTCAAGCTATTACAGGTTATTGTTGAATGGAAATTTTTTTTTTAGGTTGGGATATGGATGCATGAGTGGTGTGTTCAAGCTATTACAGGTTATTGTTGAATGGGCTGGTTTCTTACTGGTTGTATATGGATGCAGGAACTATGAATGTGGGTTTGTATGTTGTGCTCAAGCTATTACAGGTTATTGTTGAATGAGATTTTTTTTAGAGGGGATATGGATGCATGAGTGGTGAATGTATATCACTAAGTTGTGTGCAAATTATTGGATGGCTTATTGGTTTGACGTACCCAAGTAATGTCGTGGTGGTTGGTTCCTTTACTACTATTTGGTGGTTGGCTCCTATACTATTATTTACCAAATTATTAGGCTTCTGTGGAAATTTGCCAAATTATTGGGCAAACAATAGCACAGTCCAATAGAATACATGAAAACATATCCATAATTGCCACGACCACCAAAAGATATAAGTGTGCATGTGTGTGTGTGTTTGTGTGTGTGTGTGTGTGAGAGAGAGAGAGAGAGAGAGAGAGTTTCTATTTGGATAAGGAAGAAAGGCATCAACTACCTACTTATGAGATTTAAACATCTATTCCACTGCATAATTGTAAAAAGACTCAACAAATTGTATACCCACAATTGTCACGAAAATATATTGATTTCTATTTTAAGTCCTTAAATTAGGAAACTTGTGACTTGGTTTTCAATTACAAGTTTTGAGACATATTATGAAGAAACAATATTAAGTCTTTTGTTATGGTGGTATTTCAAAATATGAAACAAAGTTGATAATAATGGTAATAATAATAATATGAACTTTGGAATGCAATTAGGCGATTAGAAATGTCATAAATTTCCTTCATCAATCTTCCCCATATCACTTTAAAAATGAATAAACGGTTCAAGCTGGGTTGACAGGTTTCCAATTCAAAAGTTTTAGGGTGAATCAAACAAAGCTACCCAGAACTTCTTCAACATTTCAGCAGATAATAAGAACTTCTTCAACATTTCAACAGATAATCAAACATAAAACCCCAAACTTTTGTAACGTTCCAGTAAGTTATCAAACACAGTACCCAGAACTTATTTAAACCTTTCAGAACAAAACATTCAACTTTCCAGAAGATTTAAAAACATTCAGCTTTCCAGAAGATATCTTTGAGCCAAACAAACACGCATTAAGGGATTTTCTTGTTCTTTGAGGGAGCTCTGCCAAGGAGAACCTATGTGCTCCTTCTACTTTCCTATAATGGCATAAATCTTCAGTGGGTCCATCACCAATTTGTATAAACAAAATAGGTCCAGGGCTTCTCCATATATCGGAGGGGACCCTTTATTTCCCCACTCATCTTTTGCGATGCAACCCTCAGCAAGTAGACAATCTTGGGTTATTCCTCATGTGTTTTGAGTTCACCATACACAAAAAAAAGGCAAGCTAAATTCACGGGGGTAAGGTCACCCTCAGCAGAGCCCAAGAGATGGCCAAAAAAATGGGTTGTGGCATGAATACAATACCTAACAAAAGTTTACACCTCCCTTTGTGCACAGGTAAACCTAAAACATCCCAATAGGACAATGTAGTTGAGAGGCTCAAATGCAGACTGGCTGCGTGGAAGTGTAGATTCCTATCTTGGAGGTAGGATCACTCTATCAAATCCACCATCCAAACATTCTTGTGCTTCAGATGTCGTTATTTAGGATACCAGATGCCATTGCTAACAGGCTCAAACAGCTCAAGAGGGGCTTCCTCTGGAGTGGAGCTGGAGGAGCCCATAAACTCCATCTTGTTGGATGGAATACTGTCTGCAAACCCAAAAAAGCGGGAGGCCTGGGCATCAGGAAAAAGGCACACTTTGACAAGTGGTGGTGGCGCTATGCCATCCAAGAAGGCCACTTGTGGCAACAGGAGCTCAAAAAGTGACTCAAGTATGCTCAATGCTATCTAAAGGATCAGTCAATGCCCAAACGGCCAAACCTCAAATGCCTGGAAAGGGGTAGTGGGAAGCTACCTTGCTCTCTCAGGTACGTTTGCAATATCCTCTTTCTATGATGCCCTTAACCCCAACGGCTACAGCCTCATCATTCCCATGAGAACCTGGCTCACACCAGCACCATCCAATGTCCAGGCCTGCACATGGCTGCTTATTTCCTTCCAACCATGCCCTCACTCTTGATCAAATTCAAAGGAGAGGCAACCATTACCTACTTAGTGTGTGCAACAGCAATGAGGAGACCAGGATCACTTATTCAACCACTTGCAAAGTGGATATGCAAATAGGCTGAAACTATATAGACTTACCAAGGTCCGATTGGGTTCACAAATTCTACTCTCACTAAGCCTGGGGCTTTGCTGGTCTGAGTGAAACTCTTCAAAAAAACCTGGGGTTCCTCATTATTGTTCGAAGGGGTTCTCAGAATTACAAATTGGGCAAAAGAGGTACTTCCCCCGTCTTTGGAGATCATAATCAATCTTCTACCAGATTCTCGAGATTTCTCGATCACTACAAGTGGTACTTCAAATGTTCATCGTGAGAGGCAAATGCACTTGTGGACTCCCTTACCAAAGATGGTACCTCAAGACCAAATTTTCTGATTGATTACAGGACTTCTATCCTCAAGAGCAATTTGATACAATTTCTTACAAATTACATCGTACATACCACAAGACTTCTATCCTCAGGAGTAATTTGATACAATTTATTACAAATTAAATTTATACATACCACAATTTTTTATCACCCACTAATACATGAAATCTGTACATCCCAATACAAAGAAGCTATTCCTTCAAATAGAAATTTTATTTCACTAGGAATGGACTCAAAACATAGGTGGTCAAGCTGGTGGGTACAACAACATGATGTCTTGAGTTCCATTCTTAGCATAAGTACGAGATCCTTTACCCACTGAACTACCCAAAAAAATTAAAAAGAAATTCTATTCACAATGAAAGTTTGACAAATTTGTATAGCTTCCCGGGTTAACCATTAGGCTCGGCAAGCTGAATCGGTTTTTGCACCGACCAAGTTGGACATTGAATTTCAAGTTTTTAAACATTGTTACAGATAGATACTTCTACAGGCTGTTGAGGGGTCCCTTTCAAGTTTTCTAAGCTCATTGGTTGTTATCAAGTTGACAAGGGTACAAAGCCTTACGCATTGCCCTCAGTTTTAAAAGGTGGTTTAAGTTTAATACATGAAATCCGTACATCCAATACAAAGAAGCTATTCCTTCAACAAGAAATTTTATTTCAATAGGAATGGACTCAAGGCACAGGTGGTCAAGTTGGTGGTTGCAACAACATGACATCTTGAGTTCCATTCTTACCATGGGTAGGGGATCCTTTACCCACTGAATTACCCGAAAAAATAAAAGAATTTCTATTCACCATGAAAGTTTGAGAAATTTGTATAGTTTCCCCAGTTAACCATTAGACTCGGCAAGCTGACTCGGTTTAAGTTGGACATTGAGTTCCAAGTTTTTAAACATTGTTACAGATAGATACTTCTAAAGGCTGTTGTGGAGTTCCTTTAAAGTTTCCTAAGCTCATTGGTTGTTATCAAGTTCACAAGGGTACAAAGCCTTATGCATTGCCCTCAGTTTTAAAAGATTGTATAAGTATGACTATTATTTTGTGGCCAAGAGGACTTGCCTGGACGTTGGGGGATAGAGGATTTGCATGGGTATAGCTGCATCAGAAATCCTTGGCCATTAATTTGGCTAATATGGGCTAAAGGGACTCCCCTTTGGCATTAGGCACTCCTAATAGTTTCTAATAATTGTCTATTGGCCTACTGTCTTTGCACAAAAAAATTTTAAGCCAGTGAACTTCTTTCCAAAGAAAGAAAAAGGAAAAACTACCAATGGCAAGAGAAGAACATACCAGGTCAAGGTATAGTTCAGATGGTCCTGGGGCATGACAGAATGATGGATCAAAGAATTGACACCCTTGGGTACTGGATATGGATAACTCGGATTCACGTTTTCGTTGATATCTTCCACATAAACTGTGTTCTCGGGAATCCCACAAGCACGAGCAATTGCCGGGACATCAACATAGAACCACTGACCAGAACCAGGATCATTTTCGGGAACAAAAATGCTTGGTTTCTCACTTCCACGCACAACCCCTATAACTTTTACCGCATCAACTTTAGGTTCTTGAACCTGCAAGAGAAAAACTAAATGATTTAAGAACTTGTCGTCCTTAGCAAAGCTTTACCAGCAATTAGCAAGAAACCCACAATGTTTTAATGCCAAAAACTGCATTTAAAATTAAGGAAGGCAATGGGTCGGAAGGCCTAGCCTCCGGGGCCACTAAATTTGGCCTGAGGACCGTCGGGTGGGTAATCTGGCCTGTTCGGGCGTCCAAAATCTCAAATTTAAGGGCCCATGGCCCGAACAGGCCAGATTACCCACCCGATGGTCGTCATTATGAGTTCCACAAGATTTTATTCACTAAAAAAATAACAGTCTTTTAACTATAAAATGAAAATGGAATGGATGCCAGAAATTCAGCCAAATCATTTCATCTGTGGTTTGGAAACAATGGATCGAATCTCCAAGTTTTGGCTAAATTGAAGGTTAGCTAAATTTGTTATTTAAAATAAAATGGTTTTTTATTTTAAAACTGGGATATATTAGCTGAATCTCCAAATTTGTTCAGAGTAACATACAAATATTGGGCTTCAACAACGCTAAGAACAGAAAATGTTTATTAAAGAAAAACTGAAAGAAAAGGTATTAAATATCCATTGATAGTGACTGACTTCGGGCAATCTTAATTATCTTTTTAATATTCTAAAAAGGTAAAGATAAATAACCATACTGCAAAATAAGATGTCTTGCAATGACCTCAACAACTTCAGATTTTTTAGGCCAAAACTTTGACCAAAAGCTTCCTTTGCTCTCCTCTATCCCAGATAGTGTCGTATGTGAAGGCTGCTTGGCTTCCTCTGCAGCTTCAACAAATTTGTTTCGCCAGCTGCGAGGAACCCATCCTCTATTAACCAGAATAGGTAGCTGCACACTGACAAGATGCTTTCTCAATAGACTTCACAAAAGCAAAAGAAGCTTGACAAATTAGTATGGAAGGTACTACTCGATTAATAGATTGATTTATTTGATTTATACTCAATGCACTTTTTCAATCTCTTACAAGAGTTAATCCAGAATTCGCATATATATTTTGTCACACATGTACGAGAAACACCAAACCTCTCTCATTCTAGAGTGGGTTGTGCTTTACATAACAAACAGGTTTACCTCTGTAATGATTATGTGATGCCAAAACCAATAACAAAGTTTCTGCCAAAACAGTTCTAACATAACAAAATCAACTCTAGATCTTAACTTACAATGATAAATCATGGTATCCAGACTAATGAAACCACAGTGCAGAAAATAAAAGAATAACTCTGCAGCTACTAATTCACCCAAAACATTGCATCTACTAACTATATAATTCAATAATTTCACTTGATACCATGGAAAATTAAGATCAAACCACAGGTACCACATCTCAGCATAAAGCACCCAATTACAATAGTTCATCAACCAGAAGCTACCATGGAAAATCAAGATCAAACCACAGTTAGCAAGTTTAAGGTCCACAAGTGGCCATCTCAATCATAAACATATAATTAGATACGTGAAAATTTCTTTCTTTTTCTTTTTTTGCTTTTTGTTTTTTTTATTTTCTGGTGGTTTGATAGTGAAAACTTGGTTAAGTTCTCAGAAGAAATTCCAGTCATCTCTCAGTCATAGATTTTTGAGGTATGTGCGGCTGGTTAAGCTTGTCATATCGATCAAATAAATTCCATCAATCTAGAGATCCTGAGATTACTACAGTCATTATTATTGCATAGGCAATGGCGGCAACAATTTCTGAGCAATAACTTCGCTCATTGAGGGATTCTATCTTAGGTGCCATTAAACAATCCACCCACAATCTGGTGAAAAAAATCTGGGCTTAACAAAAATGAGTGCAAGATCCCGAATCATAGGCACCTCCTTGGTGGGGCTTTATTTCTTCCTTCTGCTTATTTTCTTTTCTGAAATGGAACAGTTGGATAGTTGTGAGTTGCTAAAGGAGTGTACAGTGATTGACTACCACCTAATCATTGGCACGAGGAAAGCTGCGAGAAAGGGCCGACATGACAAATGAAAGAGGAGAGTAGATTGGGCTGGGAATTAGGGTATCACTTAATCAACGATTGTTGAAAATCACATGTTGTTTAGTGAGGTTTTTGGCTTGCAATAAAGCTAGGTCCTCATCGAGCAACTACTAGTCCTATCTATCTACTTCTCCAGACACTATATCTTGAGTACCAATGATGGTGACCACATCTGCTGGCATGTGATGTTTGGACATAGAAACGAGTCCTTGTGAATGGGCGGAGCTAGACTAAGAGGAATTTGAGAGGCGAATAGAGGACTTTGAGAAGCAAAAAGAGAAATATGGAGAGGACTGTGGAAAAGGGGGCAAAAAAAAAATTGGTTTTCATTTGCAATGAGACTGGAGCTCATTCCAACTGCTCTCGAATTCTGGTTTTTTTTTCTTGTGGCTCAAACTATTTGCTCGGAAGGTCCGGAAAGCAAGCTGAAAGGTCAACTCAATCATTTCCTTTCTTAAGGTTGCAGTTGCCCATATTGTCGAATTATCCCAATATAGTTGTCATCCAAACAAACCCTTGATAATGTTAGAGTTGCATTCTCCACCAATGGGCAATGGACATAAACAGCCAACTGCAAATATTGAGAAAGGAAGAGCTAACGAACTTTAGGAGAGACTACAATTACTTGGTGCTGATGGCAGCAGAGGGCACCATAAAGTGCAATGTGATATATGGAATGTGTCAAGTTACAATTTAAGAGGAAAGAAGGAAAAGAGTGTGTTTGATGGAAAAACAATTAAGGTTTTTCATTATTAAATAGACAAGCATGTTTAATTCACTTTCATTTGTACTCAAAATCTACTGGTGTTGTATGTGCTCCATGATGCTCCAATGGAACTTTCATGTCTCGATTATGTAAAATTTTCACCATCAGATACCACCAATCATAAAAAATCCCAAATCAACAGCAGTAGACAAACATCGATTCCATGAGCCTCTACATACAAAATGCTAATATACACTAGGGCCAGTTTGGATGTATCCAAAATTGTAATATTTTCAAATGACAAGAAAAAAATATTGAGATAGCAACTGGTAACCGTTTGGATAACCCCATTAGATTTTATTCCCCAACAAAACAGATTATGACGCTAAGCCAAATTTGCCCAAAAAAATTGCCCAAAAATGTGAGCAAAAAAATTTTGAGTTACGCTCAAATTTTTTTTCGCTTCTATCTTCACACCTTTTCCCCAAACCTTCCCGCTCTGAGTCGCACTTACAAAAGACTCTCTCCCACTCTCCAGCACGTCTCACAGCTCTTTCCTTCTCTCAACTTCAACTATGCTGATTTTTTTTTGCTTCCGTCTTCGTGCCTTTCCCCTAAACCTTCCCGCCCGCTCTGAGTTGTATTTACAAAAGCCTCACTCCCACTCTCAAGCACATCTCGCAGCTCTTTCCTTCTCTCATCATCAGCTCTTTCCTTCTCTCATCTTCAGCTCTTTCCTTCTCCCAGTAGGAGTTCGACTTTTTCTCTCTAAAAAATGAACCTTTCCATCTTTCTTTCTCTAGAAAGCCGCACCTGTAATTTCACGGAGCTCTCCCCAGCATTTCGAGCGGTTATACTCCTAGATTCCCTTCTCTTCCTCTCTCTAGAAGTTTAGGGTTTTGCTCGATATCTGTAGGAACCGTGATTCTTCGGGTCTTGGGAGTGGAATTTTTCTCTGTAACATAGAGTTTGTCTATCTAAATTTAATGGAGTGGTTTTCTGAGTATGCATAGGGAGATGTTTTACAACCTCAAAACATTTGCAGAGGAAGGTTTGTAAAGGACGTCTCACCTCTTTTGCCCAGTTACTCTCGCTCTAATAATAATATTGAACTTCTCCCTGCTCGTGCTTTCTGGGTTCTTTTCAGGGTTCTTCTCATTCTCTCTATGTTGTACATTTATCGGAATAAACTACAGATCTAGAGAGACTGAAATTGTGTAAATTGGGTTTGGGATTTCTTATCAATTTCTTTAAAATTTCATATTTCAAGTTACTTTTCTGCCATTTTCAGCTACTCTATGGAGTTCAAGAATACGCAAAAAAAATAAAAAGAAAAATTTTAAAAAATCGAAATAATATTCCTTAGAAAAAAATTATAAACCATTGATTTTTATACTTTTCCAAAATTCAGAATTGAACTTTACAAAATTCATTTTTGTCTGTTGGTATTTACAAAATTTATTTCTAAATAACAACACACCTCGAAAATCAAATTTAACATTTAACAACCCTTATATCGCCCCTGAAAGAGATGTTTTTCAAATTGCCTATCAGTACTTTCGTGCATAGACTTGCCATGCTAGTTTAAACTATTTAAGCCCGAGTCATTTGTTATATGAGTGTATTTTTTTTTTTATCTCCCATGTGTGTAAACATGTTTTAGCAAAAACTATATACAAATTTAAAATATGACTACATTAGTTGTAAAGAAACACAATCCAACTATCACAAAAAATGTAGTATAAAATCCAAAAAATAATAATTTTTAAACAATAAAAATTACACAACGTAACCACAATAGTAGACTAATAAAAATAATGATTGAATTAATATACCTCTTCAATCTCCTCCAATAGCCTAATATATTTTTTTCAGGGGTTTCTCCCAACTTTTTTTCAGTTTTTGAAATTGGTTTCCAAATTTGATATTTATTCGAAGTTATGTGAAAATATATTTGGAAGGTTTTTATAGTACAATAAAAGAAAAGGTTGATCACAATTAAAACATGTAATTCCGAAGTCTTACATGTTGAAACCATGAGATCTCAAGCATATTATTTCACTGTTTTATAATGCCTAAAGGCATGTGATTCCATGTCCAGAGTCAAAGGCATACAAAATGCATGCTATGTAAGGTTGGTCAAAACTTTTTTATGTAATGAGAAAAATAAAGAAAAAATACGAATTTAGAATGTATTGCAACGCATCCAAACAGATATATCTGGCAAATAAAATTTTCTTCTCATATTTTAACAGACATCCAAACAGTCTACCAACATAATAAAATAAAACGATAATGTTTCTCAATTGAGGAGGAAAAAAACTGCATTTTTTTTCAATGTGCATATTTTTTTCTTTGACATCCAAACTGAGCCCTAACTATAACAGAAAATGATGATTAAAAGATTCAATATAACCACAAACATTGACATACAGGCATGTGTTGCTGTGTATAAGAATATACTTCATAACTATAAAAATTCATCAAAGTATGTATATGAATGCCTAAAACACCACAGCAGTTACCTGTCGGACTTGTTCTTAACGGGCATTAGAGGTGTCACCACATAATAGCCATTTTCTGTTACTCCAGAAATGCTCCTAGAGCGAGGACCTATATAAACCGATTTACTCTCATCGAAAACACCTTCACATAAGACCCTCCTGAATTCCAAAGAATCCATTTCTCCATCTGATCTAGAGCCATTGAATTGAGATGAGATGCTAGTCCACGTGAGAGGCTCCAAAGCCAACCTCCCCCTCCTGTACTCTAACATTTCTATCTGTTTCGCAAGAATATATAAAATAAGCATAAATTCGAAACGCCAAAACGTCTGCATACAATTTCCACACCCACTGGTTCGCCCGTTTAAAGGACAGGAAACCATGTCAAACTTAAAATACAACTAAAAACCAAGTATTCTAAAATAAAATGAAGCACATTATCTCATCACACTATGGAGTAGAAAAAATAAAAAACAGGAAAATAAAAAGAACTGAAAAATATAATTAGCAGCGTATGAGTGCATGTGGTTGCGAATGTATACTCACACAGACAAACACAACCACCCACACACATACACAACTAGAGGAAAGAAATCAATATAGTAAGAATGTGAAAAACCAAAGTTGGTCTTCCATGATTTAAAACTCCCATTGGGTTTGAGAAACACAACACTCCATGCAACAGCTCTTCACGGCAATTTTATCCCGCCCTTACCCTTCTTTAGGACTCTTCCTATGGCAAGCCTCAGATCTAACCACAATATGGGCCCTCAAGATGGAGTACACGAGCACTATTTTTGAGAGTCAAAAAGCTCGAATAGAAACAATAAGGGACCGCATCAGGTTTTTTAATTCTGTAGTTGTGAAGAATCCAGGATTTCTCACTGGAGGATTTTCCAAGCAATTGGAGGCACATTCTAACATCTAGAGTATTGTCTATCCCAAGATGAAGCACAAGATGCCATCCGAGTCTAGGGGTCATCAAAGTCAACTTTGATGGCTGCTCTCTAGGTGATACAAGAATTAGGGGATATAGGTTGTAATTTTAAAACCAATTCCACTCGATTGGTACAACAAGCTCCATGATAGCCAAGGTACAGTCTCCCCTCGTGGGCCTAAACGGCTTGATACCAATTGGGGTCATTCACTTCTTAGTTGAAAAGGATTTAAAGAACATTATTATTTGGGAAGCAAAATCATATCCATGCCCCTAGAAACTGAGCCAGTTTTTGACCAAATCTTCGAGTTGAGGACCATTGCAAGTTTCGTTTAAGCATATATGGCGCAAGGCAAATGCAGCAGCAGATGCCTTAGCTAAAGGGGGGTATCCAGCCAAAATTTTGTAATTAATTCCTCTTAGTTTTGACTAAGAGGGATTTAGTTTTCGTAATAACTGCACTCATGCCTGGTTTCTTTGGGATTTGACTCCATTCATGTAATCTATACATAGACACTTAATACAAAGAGTCAATTTCTTCCAGAAAATAAATGTTAAAATTATGACTTTATCCCCTTAGCAAAATTTACCCATCATTCCTTTTGCATAGAAAACCAAAATTTGGTCAAAAAAAATCCAATGCGCAGTCCTTTTCTTTTCCTTTTTAATAAATAGCAATGTACTAATGAGGGATCAGTCAAAAGAGTACATACAAATCAAAACCTATCCGTCAAATAGAGAAGAGAAAATGGGAATAGGACAGGTATATCAATGATAAAATCACCAAGTCTATGAAGAGAGGCCATATGTGCGTGTAAGGAAATCAATTCCTCCCCTTCCTTTGCAAGGATAAGTGCCATTTACTTGGATTCCATAAAGATGTGCAAGCTAAATTTCCAATATCCAAAATACACAAGACACAACAAAGAGAAATTAACAAAGCCCAAAAGACGGGTTTAGGTACGTCCAAGGATGCACCTATTGTAGTAAGTCCACCATTCCAAGATCCATCTTGGAAGCAAAACTCTACAGGTCTACCATCTCGACCACCACAATCATGAATCTAAAAAAAGAAAATTGATTTGAGCCCTAAAATATTCAATCTTGTATTCCATTTTCTGGATTTCATTACAATTCTTTAAAGATAATCAGATCTGCATTGTTTTGGAGCTCCAAATTCATGAATCCACGCTCAAACTGGATTTGTAGTGATTTAGGAGTGTTTCAAGACCTATGAAGACCAAGGTTTCAAAAAACGCTAAGCGGCCAGCCTAGCACCCACACCAAATGCCTATGCGGGTGCCCAGAACCTAAGGCGCCCTGTAGTAGAAATTCTTTAGATATATACATATATGTGCTGCCCAAATGCACATATATGTATATATTTGTGTCAATTTTGTAATTTATAGCATATGTATTATTGTAACAAACCTTTTTATATATAAATATATGACATCAATTTATAGCATTTGTATTATTGTAACAAACCTTTTTATATATAAATATATGACATATCGCATGTTAAGAATAAACTTGTTCAAAATTTCACAATTCAAATCATACAAATTTAAAAAAGTTAAAAAGTCTAATAGGATATGTATTAGTAATAGTCTCCAACTCTCCATATGCTATAATAACATCGACTAATCACCTCACAGTCTTCTAATACCTCCAATAGCACCCCAAAAAATAATTCCAAAGAGAAAAGAAAAGCTTAGGATGCTTCACCACAAAAAAACAAATTACCTTCATTAACTCATTAGCTCACATGGACAGTTGAAGAAGGGACCTTTTTCGAGCCAAATCCTCCACCAATTTGATGTTTTCCAGTTTTTCTCTATTATATCCCCTACCGCTTATGTCCCCATGTGGAACATTTAAATATCATTGATTTAGAAAATTTTCCGACTTTATATGTCATGTATACTCAAAAACTCCTTCACAATTATCCATACTAAAAAGATATTTATGCACAAGATTGACATCACCTCGGATCAATAATGAGCATAAACTTCAACTCAATCTATGATTTGCATCTTGTGTCTATTAACAAAATTGTTCACTATTAACAAAATTTGCATATCAGCATAGTTCGAAAATTCTAGGCGGCGGGGAGGCCAAGTAATTCTCGCCCTGAAAATGGGGGGAAACGTTTTTTGGGGGGNCGCCACCCACCCCACACACACACACACACACACACACTACTACACTACTACTACTACTACACTACTACTACTACTACTACTACTACTACT